AACATTCCTTAGAGTAATCTTTAGAGAGCTGGGGGATTGACCCAGCAACTTTGGTCAATAGGGTGAGAGTTTCTTCCGAGAGGCTCTAACTTCCAGGCATTTCCATTCTGTTCCTTGTGTGCAGAGGGAGGCAAAGAGCCATGGGTGCATTTAGAAGCCTTACATGGTAAGTGTAGGGTAAGGCGGGGCATTGACAGTGTCTGCTATAAACCTCAAGAGATAACTCAGCCCAGGCTAAAGGGTAAGTGCAAGAAGATGTTCATAGAAGTGTTGACTAGGATAGCAAAAGTGAACAGATCACAAACAGGTGACGAAAACCACACAAAACATCTAGCAAAATGGGAATGGTGTAATCAATGTCCATTCATTGAAAGGAGACCCAGCCACCACCATGCGGATTTCAACGCCCTTTAGCAACATGGAAAAGGCTTACTATCTAATGCTAAGTGGGAAATGCAGGATGTAATATGAGCTAGTTATACGTACACTATGATTGTGCCTGGGTAAACATCTGTCTTCAAGAAAAGAAGCATTTGAAGAAACCACAAAGAAACGAGAATGTATTAGGGTGATGGGACCACGCAAATTCTTTTGTCGTGTTGTCTTTTTGATTGAATGGAAGGCAGAGATTCAATATGACTAACGAAAACACCAGTTCATATGGAATTGCACCCCCTCCCAAATAAGCTGCTTGCACTTAAATTCTTGTCTCAGCTTCTAAGGGGACCAAAACTAAAATGGGTCTATTCCCAGGACTGGGATGTCTGGGCCACAGGGCGTGAATAGCTTTATGGTTCTTTTTATTAACTCAGTGCCCTATTTAAACCAAACTTGCTCTCTTTCTGCTTTCATTGGCTGATCCTGCAACGCAGGATTTGGAGGCTTAGGCAGCTGGATTGGATCCTTGGAATCAGGCTCACATGGGTCCAGCCATGTTCTGCTTCCTTTCTTCACATACACAGAGGTTAAGGCACATTGGGAGCTGACATCACCAAGATGAATTCTATGCCCAGGAGTCTGCAATTTATCAGAATATAAAGAATGTGGAAATGGAATTCATCTTGCACATTTGCATTCCTTATCGAATGTCTCCAAGCATGTTCCACGAGGGACATAAATTAAGCCTTTATCCAGGAGATACATTATCTCTGCGTGTGGCCTTCCACATAGTTTTCTAATGAAAGTCATTAGATGCTTGGCCCCTGGAGATAAGAGACCAGTTCTGCCAAGCCTGTGGTCCAGCCTGTGAGTCAGTGATGACATCAAATTCTACCCAGGGCTCTGCCTGGAAAGGCTACTCCAGGGGTCTTGGAAGGGCTTCTGGGAAAGGGGGGGTGGTCAAGTGTCAGCCCCAGGGACCTGGGAGATGGGGCCAGGCTGGCAAATGCTCATTGAGTCCTACTGTGTGCCAGCCAAGGGATAGACAGAGGTTAAGAGACATTATTCCTTCCCCCCAAGAAATTCACAGAATAAAATAATCCAGATGTCCATCAACAGAAAAAAGAATAAGCAAAATGTGGTCTATCTGTACAATGGGATATTATTCCTCAATAAAAGGAATGAAGTATGGATACATGCTCCAATATGGATGAAACTTGAAAACATATGCTAGGCACAAAGGTACACATATTGTATGATTCCATTTGTATGAAATGTTCAGAACAGTTAAGTCCATAGCGATAGAAAGTCGTAGTTGCCAGGGGCTGGGGGAGAGAGGGTTGGAAGCAAAAAACAAAATAATGGTAACTTAGGTCAGAGCAAGCTAAAAGCTTAAAAACAGACATTAGACAACTGTGTTCTCTAAAGCCTTTGGCCACCCTGCCACAAGAAACGATTTATCTGACACCTTTTTTGAATGTTCCAGAGTCCCACCACATTGCATGGCTCCCTTCTCCAATCTCAAATTACTAATTTCTTACGAAGACCATCTCTTGTTATAATGGTACAAACCAGGCCCTTGGTGTCATCCCTATCACAACCCAAATGGTCTAATAGGTATTTTTCTAAAGAAAAAGTTCCCAAGAGTAACTCTGGCATTAGTAGTTAAAACAATTTTTCCCACCACTAAAGTATCATAGTAATTTTGGCAAATTTAATTAATCTTGAAAGTTATCATGAACAACAAACATTACTCAGGAAGGCAAACAAAGAGCTAAGGTGGGGCTATATTAGTTCTGAAAAACCCTGAATTGGTACAGCCACTATGGAGAACAGTATGGAGGTTCCTTAAAAAACTACAAATAGAACTACCATATGACCCAGCAATCCCACTACTGAGCATATACCCTGAGAAAACCATAATTCAAAAAGAGTCATGTACCAAAATGTTCATTGCAGCTCTATTTACAATAGCCAGGAGATGGAAGCAACCTAAGTGTCCATCATCGGATGAATGGATAAAGATGATGTGGCACATATATACAATGGAATATTACTCAGCCATAAAAAGAAATGAAATTGAATTACTTGTAGTGAGGTGGCTGGACCTAGAGTCTGTCATACAGAGTGAAGTAAGTCAGAAAGAGAAAGACAGATACCATATGCTAACACATATATATGGAATCTAAGAAAAAAAAATGTCATGAAGAACCTAGGGGTAAGATGGGAATAAAGATACAGACCTACTAGAGAATGGACTTGAGGATATGGGGAGGGGGAAGGGTAAGCTGTGACAAAGTGAGAGAGTGGCATGGACATATATACACTACCAAACGTAAAATAGATAGCTAGTGGGAAGCAGCCGTATAGCACAGGGAGATCAGGTCCGTGCTTTGTGACTACCTAGAGGGGTGGGATAGGGAGGGTGGGAGGGAGGGAGACGCAAGAGGGGAGAGATATGGGAACATATGTATATGTATAACTGAGTCACTTTATTATAAAGCAGAAACTAACACACCATTGTAAAGCAATTATACTTCAATAAAGATGTTAAAAAAAAACTTCATTGAACATTTATTCTATAAACTTTTATGGAGTGCCAAAAAAAAAAAAAAAGGAATGAAGCATTAATACCTGCTGCAAGATGGATGAACTTTGAAGACACTATGCTAAAGTGAAAAAAGCCAGTCACAAAAGGCCACAGAGGATTATATGAAATTTCCAGAATAAGCAAATCTCTAGAGACAGAAAGTAGATTAGTGGCTGTCAGAGCTGGGGGAGGGAGGAACAGGGTGTGACTGCTATCAGAATATGGTTTCTTCGGGAGTGATGAAAATGTTCTAAAATTGATTGTGCATAACCTTCTGGTTGCATAACCTTCTGTATATACTAAAAACTGTTGATATATATTTTAAATGGATGAATTGTATGGAAAGTGAATTATATCTTAATAAAGCTTTTGTTATAAAAAAAGAAAAAAGAAACTCAGAGGATAGAAGCATATTATTTGAGGCAAGTTCTACAAGGTTCATTGAGAAAGTGCTGTTTGAGCTAATCGGGGATCAGCTTGAGGGTGATCACAGATGGACTAGGGAGAAAGGGGTTCCTGCAAAAGGAAGAGCCCAGACAAATGCACAGAGACATGAAGGAAGGCCACCAGCAATGAATTATGATAGGATGAGCTGTGACTTTGAGCTTCTGGGGGAATGATGGGCTCATGAGAATTTATAATTTTTGAGCAGGTAATGCATTCACATAGTACAAAATGGAAAAGTCTCAAAAAGGTGGCCAGTGAAACAAAAATCTCGCTCCTGTGTCTGTCTCTCATTCACCTAGTCCCCGCTCCCCGCACTGGGCCATCACTATTGCTAGTCTCTTGTATGTCCCTTAAGAGATATATTACACACATATACAAAGAAGTATTCATATGGGTTTTTTGTAAATGGGATTGGAACCTCATCAATGTCTCATACTTTGCTTTTAATATTAGCCAAACTCTTAGAGATCCTCCCAAATTTGTATACAAAGAATATGTTCATGTTTTAGTGGCTATTTAGGATGTACCACCTTTTATTAACCAGTTTTCTTTAAATGGACATTTAGGTTGTTTCCCATCTTTCCTTCTTACAAAATTCTGTAATAAATAACCATATATATATATATATGACATATCACATATGTATGAATTCATCTGTAGGTAAAGTTTCTAGAAGTGGAATTGCTCCATTACAGAGCTTGTACTTTTTAAAATTTTGATAGATATTTGATAGATATTGTCACACTACCCACAATAGAGGTTGTACCAATTTATACTTGCATCAGCAATTGGTGAGAGAGCATGTTTCCCCACATTCTGGGGGTGTGTTTGGAAACACTGTCAGAGATCATTTCATATAGGGCCTTGAATACTAAGCCAGGAGGTCTGAACTTGATCAATTGACCATGGACACCTGTTGGAAGGTTTAGGCAGTAGGTGAGGATGGGCAGTTTGAAATTTTAAAAGCTTCTTTTCATGATGACATCAAATAAATTTTGTAGGAAATTTTTATTCTCAAACAGGCATGAGTGGTAATGTGATGAGTCAGAGAGCAGAAAAAATCTCCATTAGGATTGAAGTCACACTGGGGAGAAGGTGATTATCATCTGGGCACAGCGGCCACAGACAATGGGGTTGGATATGAGCACAACTTGGTTTCTTTACCATCCATAACTCTAGCTTTCCTGCCAGTTTTCTTTTATCGCATACTTCCCACAAGCTGATGGCTCCTCGTGAAACATTTAACCCTGAAGGGTAATGACATAAAAACCAATAACAAGGAATTTTTATCAGAAGCTAATGGTTCACCCAATGACAAGCAGACAAGTGACACAGCAACTTCATCTTTCTCTACAAGACCTTTTTGCAAATTAATTGGATTTGGAACTGCATGGAACAAAGAGCCGGGGGAAGCAAAAATGCAGACACATTCATTCTGAGTCTTTTGTCTCTTAAACAAGAAGTTAGTCACTATTATGTGATACAACAAGAGAAGGAAAGATGGACGGCAGTCAGTTGTGAAGGCACGTGCATATGAAGGACCTGAGAGCCAGGCCCATCCAGATGCTCCAGCCATGCTTCAAGGATGAGCACCTTGGCCTTGGTACTTTTGGGGCTTGCCCTGGGGTTTAGGGCCATTACAGCTAAGCCAGAGGATGGCAGCTTTTGCTCTAAGAGCCAAGTGGCTTTCAGAGATGATTGCTATGAATTTGTGCCTCTCGGCCGCACCTTCTATGATGTCCAGAGCTGGTGTGAGGAGCAAGTAGGCCATTTGGTTTTTATTCCTGGTGAAGCCACCCAGCTATTTCTGCAGAAGCACCTCACCCAGGACAGGGAACGGTGGATTGGACTCACATGGAACTTGGCTTGGAATGATACTACAGAAGGTAGGTGCCATGATAATTTTGTTTTATGGGGAGCTTGTGGCTGTGATTCTCACCATAGTTTCTTACCCAGAACTCCATGGAACAAATTAGTACGTCCCAATTCTCATGGTAAGGAGACCCTCCTTTTTGGTTGTTTTGTGGATCAAATAAAAGAATTCTTGTGCAGTACCTAGCACAGAATCCAGCTTGTAGCTGACATGCTAGAAATGTCCCTTTCTTTGCTTGTGCCTAAGACTAGCTATGGCTTCTTCAGTTCTTGCTAGAATAGTGCCTGGCACTGTCCTGTGCTTCATGTCCATTTTCACAGTGAATCCTTATCATAACCGATGAGACAGTTATGATTGTTGTCCCTATTTTACAGATGGGAAAACAGAGTCTCAGGAAATAATGACTAAGCTATTTTCAAAGCACTTCCACATGTCCTTCCCCCACTTGTTATGAAGCTGAAGTGGGTTAAGTGCTTAGCACAGCTCAATTCACATTAGACAGTCTCATGGTAACAGTCGCCCTGGAAACCCTAACTTATCCTTCGCTCGGTGAGGACTCCTTCCTCCAAACCCCGCACGTTCAGGTGAGTCCTCCTCTTTGCACCTGTAGGATCTTGTCCACACATTTAGGAGAGCACTTTTGGCATGACTTCAGTTTTTAGGTGTCCTCCCCCCGGACTATGAGTTCTTCAAGGGAAGGAACCATTATTCTGGCCGTTTTTGTTTTCCCAGTGTCCATACACAACAAAAAATGGATGTCCGTATTTAAGCCTTACCCCTGCCCCATGAGGCAAGCACTGCTACTCTTATTTTATGAATGAGGAAAATAAGTCCAGAGGGATGAAATGACTTGTTCAAGATGACAGCGTCCTGCTACCTCCCATTGCCCAGTAGAAACTGCTGGGTTTTATAAATGAGTAGCTTGGTCTGGGCTGAACACCTGTAGAAATGTACCAGCGTGGATGGAAATACTTTAATAAAGGAGCAGCCGGAGAAGCTCATTTTAGGAAACTCACAGCCAAGAGATTTGAATTCTAAAATGCATCTTCAGGCAACATCTACTGAATGGTTTCTTGCTTTGTAGATGCAGAAATTGTGTATTTCTGTATATCGGACACCCATTCACATGCAGTTAAAGGAGCGTGTCTATTTAAAATCTCCAAGGGATACTGCATGGCTGCTACAGAAAATGGGGCAGATCTTAGTAGGCTGATACGTCCCAAACTCCATCACTCAGTGTTTTTAAGAAGCAAGGGACTGTCCTGGCTGTGTGCGATATGATGGCATTTGTGTAACTAGATTTCAGGCATTCATAAATGTTGATGTATGGATAGAGTTCATCCTGGAACAATTTTCAAGAAACATAACAATAATGGGAGTAGTCCCTAGGTTGAAAGAGGGAAGATGTTTTCACTTTATACCCTTCTGTGTTCTTTGAATTTTTTTAACCATATGTATGGATTTCTTTTCCTTAAAAAAATGGTAAATGTATTTTTGAGTCTTCACAGTAAATAGTTCACAGCCAGTGTTTTCTAGACTTCTGGTGTACCTCTGTATCACACACACACACACACACACACACACACTTCAACAATCATGTTGGTGTATTCAAGGCTCTGAAAAGTACCAAAATCATGAAAATTGCTTCCACTTTCACTCAGTGCTGCCCAAGTATATTTGACAAGGGCCCCTGCTTCTCTCTGGACTATGTCTTGCCATCCCGAGGCACACTTCTGTGTTCTTTTTTATTTTATTTTTTAAATTAAAAAAAATTTTTTTTAAACCTTAAAAATTTTTTTAATTTATTATTATTTTTTTGGCTGCATTGGGTCTTCGCTGCTGTGCATGGGCTTTCTCTAGTTGCGGTGAGCGGGGGTTACTCTTTGTTGCGGTGTGCAGGCTTCTCATTGCGGTGGCTTCTCTTGTTATGGAGCACGGGCTCTAGGCGCGCGGGCTTCAGTAGTTGCAGCATGCGGGCTCAGTAGCTGAGGTATGTGGGTCCTAGAGCTCGCGGGCTTCAGCAGTTGTGGCTCATGGGCTTCAGTAGTAGAGGCTTGCGGGCTCTAGAGCGCAGGCTCAGTAGTTGTGGTGCACAGGCTTAGTTGCTCCGTGGCATGTGGGATCTTCCTGGACCAGGGATTGAACCTGTGTCCCCTGCATTGGCAGGCAGATTCTTAACCACTGTGCCACCAGGGAAGTCCTGTGCTCTATTTTAAATTGTGGTTACACATTACTGGAAGCATCATCTATTTAATCAAACCTCTTTGTATGGGCTCTTGGGCTCGGCACCCCGGTTTGTAGGCTGGGACCTTATCTTGGAAGACAGTGGCTAGGTGATGCCCCTTCACTGGCATGGAACAGAGAGGCCTTCAGCCTGTCAGCACTGCCTGAGCACCCACTGCACACAAGGAGTGGAGCTGGGGCAAGCTCTCTGCACACCAGGATCAGAAGGACCCTTCCAAGTCCTGGTGGTCATATTCCCATCCCAGGGCCCAGGATCTGGCTGGACACCTCAAATGTGAGCTACAGGATCTGGCTGGACAACTCAAATGTGAGCTACAGCCACTGGCGCCGAGGGCAGGATGCTTCTGTAACCAAACCCTGGGGCTACAATGGGAGAGACCCTTCCTTTGGGTAGTTGCCCTCGGACAACTGCACGCAGGAGTTCACCTTCATCTGCGAGTTTGGTGAGCTGACCTGTGCTGTGGGGTCTCCCTCCTTCTTTCTCTGACTCTCTCTCTCTGTCTCTATCTCTCTGCATCTCCTTCTGTCTTGCTCTGTCTCTCTTTTTCTGTATCTCTCTGTCTCTGTCTCTATCTCTCTAAATGCCCACAATCTCCGGCTGTGTGATGCTCCGTGTCTCACTTCATCTCTCCAGCTCATGTCCCGCTCTCTCCCTGTCCACTTACCTGCCTACCTGCCCTCTAGTCTCACTTGTCTCTCTGTCTTCCCCTCTCATAGCCCACATTAGAGGGAAGTGCTCAGCCCTATCTCCGCTCCCTTTCCAGTCTTCCCATGAAGAGACATGTGGTCCCAGGAAGCTGTTCTCGCTCACCCTTGACTCCCGCTCCCTGGTCAGCCTGGCTTTGAGCCCCTCACCCCCGCATCCCACTCCCAACTCCCAAATCCCCCCACGCTCTGCTCTTGTGCCCCTTCCAGCTGCTGGCTGTGGTAGGCCCCTTTTGTGGGCCCTGGGAACCCCTTCCTGGGGACTTTGTGTGCGAGTCCCCGCAGGAGTGGCCCGAGACCCACACTGGGTCCTGCCTGCCATGGGGGGCCTGGTCTTGGAGCTGAGCTGCCTCTGACCCTCAAGCCAGCCTTGACAGAAGGTTCTGGGCTTCCGGGCCCAGTCCCCTCCCTGGTTCTAATCCCCTCATTGGAGACTCTGGCGCCCAAGCCCCAGTCTGGGTTCAGACACTTACGGGACCCCTGCTCTATTTCCCCCACACTCAGCTTTATAGATGCCATGCAAGCTTAACTTTCCTGCCTGGCCGATTCTGAAAAGTCGACAGCTTTGTGGACCTGTGGGTTGTGCAACTTCCTCACTTCTTACCAAAGCTCCCCCGCAAACCCCATCCCCTTCCCCACCCCCACTGCAAGCCTGTCTCAGCACCGTCAGCCCCCGGAGTCTTGCAGTCCCTGGCATGAGGTCACACTAGGAAGAGCTAAGATACATCCAGCAGGAGTTCCAGGCACTGAGCTGTACATGCCTCTGTGCACTTATCCATCACACAGTAGAAGTGCCTGCATCATTCTGTTGCAGGCCCACATAATAAAGCTAAGAAAAGTGATGCCCAGAAGCGGTAAGCTCCACACAGCTGGGAGGTGACAGAGATGAGACGTGAAGATCAGAGAGAGAGACTGGGAGACGCTGTGCTGCTGGCTTTGAAGATGAAGGAAGGGGCAGCCTCCAGAAGCTGGAAAAGGCAAGGGAATAGCTTCTCCCCTAGAGGCTCCAGAAGGAACCAGCCCTGCCCACACCTTGATATTAGCCCAGTAAAGCCCATTTTGAACTTCTGACCATAACTGTAAGAAGATAAATTTGTGCTGTTTAAGCCACTAAGTTTGTGGTCATTTGTTACAGCAGCCATTAGGAAATGAACACAGATTTTGATCTCAACCCCTGCCCTGTGGCGGTCCCACCAGGCAGACAGGCCTGAGTCTGAAGCCAGTGTTTCCTACTTTCTGCTGTGCACATCTGAGCCAGGTCATTCTTTATCAACAAATGTTTACTGAGCATAGACCACATGCCAGGAGCTGGGCTGGAATGGGTTTCAGTACAGCGACCCCACAGAGCCCAATGTTACCACAGGGGAGGATAATAGTGCAGCTCATAGGACTGGTATGAAGACTCAGTGAAATCACTCATGCATTCAACAAATGCTTGTTTAGCATCTATGATGTGCCAGGCATTGTTTTCAGATAAGTCTCAAGGAAGGCACTCGAAACAGGTGGAATGATACTTGCCACTTTTACAGCCCTGACCCTACATATACAGACTCATTTGATCCTCCTAACGACTCTATGGGGCGTGATATTGACTCTCCCCATAAAGAGGAGGCACAGAGAAGCTGAATAACTTGCAGATGACCACACAGCCCGAGTGTGGCTGGGCTGGCCCTGACCCTGGGCAGTCTGGCCCCAGAGCCATGCTCACGCCCTCCACATTGTTTCTCACTCCTGCTGAGTCAGCTCCCACTGTGTCCTTGCGTCTCACAGTCCTGACCCCTGAGACCCCTCTGCTTCCCATCACCTGGGCACTTGCCCATCTGTGACCATGAGCCCTCCTTAGGTGTCACCTTACCTTTGCCACAGGTGTCGGCCAGAGTCTGGCCTGCGAGAGCCTCAATGCCACCATGCACTGTGGCTCAGGGGAGGTGATCCAGATCCAGGATGCTTTCTATGGGCGCCAGACTCCCCTTTATTGCATCCAGGACGCCGGGGACCCCTCAGACCTGGAGGAGGAATGCAGCTGGGTCAGCGTCAAGGACGAAGTGGCAGGTAGGGCCCAAGGGCTCTGTAGCTCTGGCTGCAAGTGCAGGGCACTTCCTGGTGTCCTGTGCCCAGCAAAGGGGTCTGGAAGGATTGAACAACCTTCATATCTGACCTTGGGCTTCCATCATATAGGAAAATTGGCCAGTCTGCCCATAGTACCAAGCAGGGGAGTAAGGGGGCCGTGGCTCACCCTTCACCTGACATCAAACCCACCCGACAGGTCAGGTGGACATTTTGCTCCCCACCCCAACGGGGTGCAAAAACATTGCTTTCTTTTTTTTTTTTAATTTAAATTTTTAAAATTTCGAAATACTTCGAACGCACGTACAAGAACGAAAAAAATTTCAGTGAAATCCTCTGGACCCACTACACAACTTTGTCAAATCTTAGCATTATGCCATATTTGCTTAAGATTCCCTCATTACAGAAATGAATAAAACATTAGATTCGTATCATCTGTCTTGATACATGTTGTACTAGTTTGTTTCACTTATTATGTAACTATATCATAGTTTATCTTTTCCTCTATTGAGAGATGTGCGGATTGTTGCTTAATCCTTGCTATTGTGAATAGTCCTGAAACAAACAAACGTTCCAGGTGGTATCTCTCCTGTGCTGGATGGTATCTCTTTTCTCTAGGGTCTTATTTTTCTAAATCAGGTTAAATCTGCCCCTGAGCCCGGTTTGTCTGGTGACAAGGATTTTCCCCTGGAGAGAAACTTGCACCTCTCCCTGCCACATCTGACCCACATCACCCCTCCTCCCCTTAGAGCAGGCGTGGGGGAAAGAAACGCCGAAATCAGCCAGTTGGTTCTCTTCATCTCGCCTTGTTGCCCCAGCCACATGCCTGAGGCTGTGGCCCACCAAGGAGGAAAGGCCCAGAGGACGAGCCAATGGCTGTGCCTCCTTCACAGATGGAGCTCAGTGGGCTATTTCCTTAAAGGCCCAGATGCAAGCTTCCAAACCTTGTAGCCACACCCAAGGGCACACTGGATGGGAGCACTGCAGCCTTTTGGGGAGGGTTGGAGGAGATCTGAGCAGAGCCCCAGGGGGTCTGTTTGTGCCTAAGTGTCACCATCACTCATTCATTCAGTCAGTTTGCTGACAGACGTTTACTGAGCACCAAAATTGTGCCATGCACTATCTTGGGCTCTGTGGATGCAGGGATGAATCAAACACAGTCTGTTCTTCGAAGGGGTCACAGTCTAATGGGGAGACAGATACAAACACAGGCAATTACCTAGCACTGTGCTCAGTGTCACACAGAAGGGAGAAAAGGTGCTGTTTAGTTACTCATGCAAGACTCATTTTGTACCTGCTATGTATTAGGTACTGTTCTGTGTGCTGCAGATAGAGCAGTGAACAAAAACAAAGCAAAACAAAACATTCCCTCTCTCTTGGAGATTGTAGTCTAGTGCTGTGGATGCACCTAGTAGGGTACAAATCTCACACTGAGGGGTATAGCAAACTGCGTCCCAGCAGGAAAACAGAAATCATGCTAGGTCTTCCAACAGAGAGAATTTAATGCAGGGAATTGGTTACCCAAGTCACAGAAGTGCTGAGAAGCCGAATAGGGGATGATGATCCAACCCTGAGATTAGAGGAGCAGAAAGCCGCTACCACCCCAAAGGGCTGGAGGGACAGCCGTGGGGGATGTCACACCAAAACCAGAAGTCAGGGCCACCCGGCAGGTGCTAGAACCATGATCTGCCCTGTGGGAGCAATGACCACGGAGGGAGGGACGGACCCCAGGGAGCTGGAGCTTCAGAGGAGATGTGGTGAGAGAGAGGGCAAAAAGCACCCTGCCCTGTACCTCTTCCCGTCTGGCGCAGGCAGACTTTGAACCCCCAAATTCCCACCCTAATCCCTGGAACTGCGGGTATGATGAGATGCCATGCCCATGAATATGCTGACTTAAGTGGCAAAAGGGTCTTTGTACATGTAATTATGGTTGCTAATTTTAAAATAGGGAGATTATCCTGGATTATCGAAGTGGGTACAATCTAATCACATGAGCCCCTCAAAGCAGAGAATTCTCTCTGACTAGAAGCATACGAGAGGGGTGGCAGATGCAGAAGTCAGTGAGATTCAAGTATGAGACAGATCTGACGCCTCACTGCCAGCTCTGAGAGACAGGGGGTCACATGGGAGTACTGGAGAGAGGCCACTAAGAGCTTAGGGTGGTCCCAGCTGATAGCCAGCAAGGAAATGGGACCTCAGTCCTACAGTCCCAAGGAACTGAATTCAGCCAACAAGAAGAATGAGACTGGAAGTAGATTCCTCCCCAGAGCCTCTGTGACACCTTGATTTCAGCCCTGTGATACCCTGAGCAGAGCCCAGCTGAGCCCACCCACACCTCTGACCTCCAGAAAGGTGAGGTAATAAATGTGCTGTTTTATGCCACTACGTTTTTGTAATTTGTTACAGCAGCCATTGGAAGTTAATACGTGTCTTCAGTCTTCCATCAGTGCCTGCCAGTGCACAGGGCAGTTTGGGAAATGCAGTTCCCTGCAATTTGGAACCAAGTAGGGTGAGGGTGGATCTGTGGGCCAACGGTCAAAGGGTCTGCCACCTTCCCAGAGGCGGTGAGATCTAAGCTGAGACCTGAAGATATGATAGGAGTCACGCAGGAAAAGGGCAGCTGGGTGAATGGGGACGGGTGTTCTGGGGAGAGGGAGGGACCCATGCAAGTCCGAGGAAGAGC